AACCCTAGGTCAACTTATCGTGATCTAACCATTATCACCCGCGCTGCCATAGTGCCCGTCAAATAGTGATCCATCAAGTAAAAGAACGGATTTCAATTTCTTCCAAGGATATATACCTACAACATTGGAAAATTAAAAATCTAAATTGATGAAAACACAATTCTACTATTCCTGGATGTAAATACAGTTCGGTCTCGGTATATCGACCTCCCAATATTCGCCTGATAACGATAAAATTTCATGCCCCGATTACAAAATGCAAGGTATACAAACGACTTCGTACATCCAGCCAATGAGGACCTTGAGGCTAAAGAAGAGGCCTTTTTGTAGGATATTGTTGACCACCACACCGGGCAAACAGGGAAGGAAGGAGCACCTAAGGAGAATAATGCTGTTAAGCCCCCTCCTTTAGTTTGGTAGGCTTTGGAAGCTGTACAGCTCCTTCTACAATACGAAGAGCACTAGAAGAATGTAGGAAGGGAGGAATTACACTATTTGATGAGAATTGAGAGTGATCTAACCCTTACAGCCGTCAAATACCAAAAATAATCCATCCTGGATATCTGGTTGGATGATATTAATGAGATGAGATTTTTATGTATTGGTAATCAACTCGATACATCGATATTTCGCTATAAAGATATTTTTTGGTCTGCCCGGAATTAATCATCATAACGAGACCGAACCGTACTAACTTTTAGAGAATATTAAAAAGAAATGTTGTAGATATTTAGTTGGAGAGGTTGAATTTGAACGGAGCTGATGTTGAGGTTCCTCGCATAGAATTTGATACTGAAACCATTGCAGGGGCGGGCAGTTAATATATGTATATTTTAAAAAAGACATTGAGCATTTCATATTAATCCTCAAAGAAAAGAAAAGGAAAAGAATTAAGACAAACAGTTCATACCAGGGATCGCATCTGGGCCACCGGAATGCGTTTGAGGGAGAGTCAAAATCCGGAATGAGCGTCACTACACTATACGCCCTAACAAATTTTTGAGAACTTCTTATGTAGTTATTAGAAATTTTCCGGAAGGATTGTGAGGAGGAGAAAGATTGAAAAGTGATAGATGAGACATGGCATGTTTCCACAGGTCGGTAAGTCATTAGGTATCTAGTGTATGTGGGCACTACGTAGGTAACGAGGGGTACTAGCTTTGACTTCGAAGTTTGAGATGCTCTTCTTCGACTCTTTCTCCTGCCAAGAGGCCAAACAAGAAGTCAAGTATAGAGAAATATCCATGAAATCGCCACTTATTGTTTAATTAAATCGCAGGTCTATAGGTATACTCTACTAATCCGGAAATATAGTCAAACTATGGGCAGGCTTAATACAGACCAGCCGCCCCAAAGCACTCCAGAGGAGTTGCAGATATATCTATTGACTATATCTGCAAAGACTCCGGTTCTAAACATATCTAAGATATACAGAGTAACTACCCAACACCATCTCGGACTCGGAGTTTAAGAAACGGAGTCATATTCAGAAACCTATACCTGAAAGACAACAAAGAAGCTGCATTCCTTCGAATCTACGGCACTATCTCATTGGCCCCTTGCAGTTTCTATAGGAATTGTCATGACCCATTCACAGAATGCGTTGTTATTAAGGGGTGTCCTAATAGAACATGCACGAATTGCTTCTACGCTCACAGATGCAAAGAATGCAAATGCACTTTCCAAAGCAAGACTCTGTATAGTTCTGTCTAGGACCTAACTGACCGCAGCTTTTTGTTTCAGATCCCTCGTCAACTGAAAGAGTCGGTATGCAAAACCGATTTCTACGCAACCAAATCCCACTGGAGTCAATGATCTAGAAACAAGTCACTCTCGTGAAACATCGAAAAAAAGGCCTCTACTAACCCAAAGAATGACGACCGGAAAATCTAGGATAAGAAAACAAACAAGGACATTCCATTCATGGCAACTTCTACCAAGAGAAGAGTGGACCCTTCAGGCTCCAAGAAGCGGCAGCGAACCAGTGCGCCTTCAGCTGGATCTGCGTTTAATGTACCAAGCACTTTCAGCCTAAATATCGACGTTGAAGCGTTCTGCATTACACTAACTACTCGGATGAAAGGGGAATATCCTCTTCTTGGTGGTTTAAGCCTTCGAGATCCAGCGGAGTGCGCGGAGCATCTACGTTTAACCTCCTCGATCCGTCCCTTTCTAGAAGAGCTTGATGCGCGCGACATTAGCGGCATATTTACAAATTCTAATAGAGAATTGTACTTCACTAAGTTAGAAGTAGTAATTCCCGAGGTTATATCCGAGCTTTAGAGCGCTTTTGAAGAATTCAAAAAACGTGAGCTTCAGGCTTGAGCTAAACGGAGAAAGGCTTTCGATGGAAGTTATTGTGTTAAACCTTTAGGATCCCTGAGTACAGGCCTCGCCCCATTACCTTAACCAACTTTATTCACGTCCGCCAAACTACTTAACGGGGAGACGGGAAACTTCACTAATGGGTGTACTGCAATAGTCATGGGAGACGCGTTCAAGAAGGAACATACCATAATGTTCGACCATCTACATTGTAAATCCGCCACATCAAAAGGTCTCCAATACTATCCGCTAGAGGTCATCCTGTTGTTATGGGACATTTACTTAGCAGATCTGTGACTCTATAGAAGCTAAGGTTGTTATCGTGTATGGCATCGAGCTACGAAAGTGCATCTTGAGTGATCCTAGCAAAGACTTCACTATGATACCCCTCTGGGATCGGCTGGAAGTCCATTTATTGCTCTCGACCGCGAAGCGAACCACCACCAAATTGCCGAAAAGCGATGTGGGATTAGACGAGTATTTCTCTTCGCTGTTCGCCCCTAGAGAAATTTCACGAATCTTTAGGGGATGAAATATTGGCCACACAGGACCATATAACTACAGCAGCTGTATGAATGGTTGTAGGGGAAGTACTCTGTATTGGTGACTATTACATTAGGCGACGCTGGCGGAAACGCATACCGTCCAATTTGGACAAGGCGATATCAAGAGCCAAATTGGATGGTACTCCGAGAAGGGAAGTCGGTAATAAATTCCAAGGATCACAAGATTCGGTCTCCTAATGCCCGGAATACTTATTTCAACGAGGTCTCACATAGCAACGACACCTTACGAAACTTGATGGCCGAAGCAACAGAGAGTTGCAAAACAACTGGCAAATTAGCGGAGTTGTAAAATCCCTCCGGTTTTTCTAGCGCCATCTTACGTTGGTTCAAGGGACAAAATAGTATACTTTTTCGAGATAGAGCCATCTCAAAGCCGGACGATATTAGACTGGTGTTCAGCCAACTCGTTTCATCCAGGAAACAAAAGATCGGGGAGCAAGTTATATCTCCCAAGAACTGTTCTGAGGCATCATCGAGAAACAGCAAGAACTTTTGAAGTCTGCAATCAGTGGTCAACCACTAGTTCTAGTTCAGCATCAAGATCTTTGACATATCGGGTCTGGGGAGAACGTTATAACTGTTTGTTAGGGATGCGGGTCAGAACGCGAAGATACATCGGCGGGATTGGCTGTGAAGCGACCTGGCCATTACATTGCTCGCCATCTAGTTTGAAAAACCCAAGTGTGCGATGGTAAGAAGACATAGTTCGTACCTCCGGATACGAGCCCAACTCCTTACGCCCCGACGAGCTTAAATAAACTGATTGTTGCTTCAGGGGAAATATCTTCCGCGTGGAAGAAATGTGTGTGCGACGATGCATCGAATCCCCCTACTAAAACTCAATCGTGGTGTATTCGATGTAGGGAGAATACATTATTGTCTGGAAACCGCTAAGTGTGTACTGACACCGAATCGATGGATTCTGGAATACAATCGGCCCCTCTATGTGGAGCGTGAGCCAAAGTACTTTCGGTGCCACACATTGCGTCTTTCTTCAGGGAGGTTTGTGCCTATCAATGATAGCGTCCAGAGCTGTCAAAGTCCGAAAAACTCTTTTGGAAATATGACGATCAAGTCAAAACGAAGCTTGTGAGTCATTGGCCCGCAACTTTGAAGACTTCGCGGAAGCTTGAAAACAAATGAGCGAGCGGACTATAGCCTGCCTATTGATCAGGAAAGATGTTGGTGAGGGACATCAAAAAGCGCATGCGCAGACTGCTTAGTCATTCCCCCTTTTTCTTAGTACAATTGCTATCTTTTCCAATGGAGTAGTCTATACAGTATGTACATAGGATGAATCCACCTCTATGGCAAGGCCTCTTTTCTGTGGCATCCTAGCCGGCTCCCCTTTTACGTAGCTCGACCATAAAATATTTGCTACATAAGATGTTAAGAAAAATATTCTCAATTTAACTCAATTTCTCAGTAAGCTCGACTCGCATCATAACACGGGCTCAAAGGCGTAATTCCTACTACGTGTGAGCTTGGCACTCGAATAATCCTCAAATGAGAACGGAATCTTCATAATTCATAAAGCACTATATTGTGTATAACCAATCATTTTTAAAAGATGATTAATAGAAAATCGATATTTTATTAAGGATGAGGACAATAGAAAGCACCGGAACAGAGCCATGCACCTGCTGCTAAAGATGAGGCTATATAAATAATAAGATTTTATTTCACTACCTCCGAAAGTGGTTGGGCAGGGCAGCAACGAGTGAGGAAGTGATTGCGAGTATCACGCACACAACTTGAACAGATGTTCTTCTAAGAATTTAAACATATTTATACGACTGTGTCATCCTCGGTTTTGATTCTATGATATTATTGCGTGATTATTTTCGTCGTATGCCCTTAATAATTCCATCACCCCAGAGGCGGACGGAACTTTCGCCCCTTGGGATAGCAGTATTCACGTGAAAGTGGGGCCACAAGAGGACCACTCTGTCTTGGTGGGGAAAGTGTGCAAATTTGCGCCCCGCTTAATTTAAACCTCACACAGTCAGAATTTCAAAATGAAAATCGCGTTTCTAGTACTCTTCAGAACATAATTTAATTATATGTTAATTTTAATTGAAAATCTCCTCCAAGTGGTAAAAATCAATGGGTCATATAGTGTAGTGGTCATCACTCCGGATTCTGACAAATGCACTGGAAATTCCGGCAACCCAGGTTCGAGTCCTGGTATGACCTAACGTCCCTCGTTTATTTTTTGTTTTCCCCTTCTTTTTTTTTTGGGTGTTGCTTTTATACTTCGAAAACCTTATTCAATGAAAACGAGTAACGGTTCTTGTAGATGAGGACTGCAGAGTGGATGAGCTATTTGACATGCTTGCCCTCGTAAAGGTCTGTGGGTGCATCCGTCCATAAATATAAGCTTCAAGTACCGAACGGTTCAACACTGACCGCTTCAAAGAGTTTGATGACGAGCCTCCAAAGGCCGTCACCACTGTATTTCGCACGGTTCGTAAACGCGACCACAGGTTTCGAGAGTTTGGCCGACTTCTGGAGGAAGTTCGAATGGTCCACAAAGGGGACCGTGGGATGTTTTGTGGGCTGCTGGTCACTAGAAAGGAGACCACGGCCAGGAATTGACTCTCACAGACGTAGATCAAACTGTCGAGCTAAAGTAAAACAATCCATGCGAACCGATGGACCTTCAAAGCTCGATCCTAGAGTAAATCTTCTAAATGGTTTTGCAGTACCCTGGTGGAGTTGCCGTCAATCCGAAGCCTCAGGACGTCTATACCAGATCGCCTCTGCTGGGTCTTGCCCTCGTCAGGACTTCGGAATCTACATCGAATTTAGCAAAGGAAATCTTCTACAGGCGGCATTTTCTTCTTCAATCAGATGGTGACCGGCCTGCAGATCTTGGGTTTGCCAAACTTAAATTGGTGCAGAAAGTCGAGTATAATTGGAACCCGTAGAAGAGAGTGTCACTCGGGATAGGCTTTAGCCTCACAAGCTCGGAAACGCAATGCCCAGTGCGCGTGAATGTCAAGCCCCTCCTGCTATAGATCAGAGGAAGTCATACTTAGACTGAATTACAAATAAAGCAACCGGACCTCATTCCTGCGACTCTCATTTGTATTGCCGACCCTTCTTACGAACCAACCCGATCATTCAAACGCGGAGCCATATCTCGATGTCGACGAGTGCTCTCGCGGTAATGTGCTACAATCGCTCGAGAACTGGTCCAGGGACCATGACTTCCTATGGATTTGATCCCTGTCCGAACATCTGGATTGACCAACAAGGGAACACTCGAGAACTAACACAATGCTCACATGCTGCGGGCTTGGACAATGGAAAGCATGACTTGGGACCCGTCGCGACTCCTAAGTTATGTCAGATGGAAGAGTTTCTTCGTAACTACCAGCCTACCACTTGTATGGGGGCTAGACGCATTAAACCTTTCCTATTCCAGCGACTTTCAACATCCCTATTCGTCCAATGATCTTTTCATTAAGGTCTCCGAAAGTATGGAGGCACTTGATCCTTGCCATGATGTATTGACTGGAATTCTGGTAAGGGCATCGGATTCGGTTAGTATTGCACTTAAGGATAATTTGAAGTGGAGGTACGAACCTCAAGAGTTCTTACTCTCTTTTTGGTTCGAACAGGAGTAAGAATTTCCTTCTAGGACTTTACTCCCTGATATGGTTTTTTCCTGGGATGAAACCTGTTGTCAGCGGCAAGGGTAGGAAGAGTACTGTATAGTCTTTGGCACCTTTGTCAGGGGACATAAATAGCCGTAGTTAGAATCATAATCTCTCTCACCATTTTCCGCGCTATGTTGCACTGGTCATGCCCTCCCCTGATAGTTGACAAATGATAATTAAACACATTTTACGTGCTTCCTAGTCCTGCGTACACATTTTCCACGCCTCAGAAATCTAATCCCCAAACCCCTCAAACTCACTCTCACTCACTCGACCACCCCTTTCCCTCTTCCTTCTGCTCTTCCCTCCACCCTCATTCATCCGTCTCCGACTTCCCACCTTAGCCCCTCTCCGATTATTCTCAACCCTCCTCTCATACCCACTCTTCGTACTAATCCTCATCTTGCTCCTCCCCTCTCCGTCCTTAACCGCCCTCCTCGCTTCCACACCCCTCTTCTTCAACTTCTGCTTATCCTTCTTCGTAGGCGTGGGCAGCGCATCCAGCAACCACTGCTTAACACTCGCTTCGTCCTCCCCCTTCCCACGCAGCTTCTCGCTCGCCCGGATAACATTAGCCACATTCCTGATGTACGGGATATCCTCCCGTGTATAGAACGTGACCGCAACACCGCCCTCGCGTCCGGCGCGGCCAGTTCGACCAACTCGGTGGACGTACGCGGCAGCCGAGTTGGGCACATCGTAGTTTACCACACCATTTAGACCTCGGAAATCTACGCCCCGGGCAAGAAGGTCGGTCGTGATGAGGACCCAGATTTCGCCGCGCCGGAACCTAGTCATGATGTTTTCACGAGCGGTTGATGAGAGATCGGCATGTAAAACTGCAATTCGGGAGCTGCCACCAGCTTCGGGAGGGATGTCGTAGAGGAGCTCGGAGTGGAGAGCTATTGCTCGTGGTATAGTTTGTGTGAATACGAGGAATGGAGGCCGGAGCGAAGCTGAAGTGTCGGTAGAGGGAGTAGCTGTGGGATGGAGGAGTTGGCGGAGACCAAGGAGTTTTCCTTGCTCGGTTGCAGCGTATGTGAGTTTGTGGGTTATATTGGGGATTGCGGTGTCCTTGAGGCCGACGACGAGGCGTATAAGTGGTGGACGGGTTGGAAGTGATACTTGTGAGGATGATAAAGCGGCCCAGCGGTTGTTGAGAGTGCTTATCGCAAGGGATTCAATGTTTGAACCCATAGTTGCAGACCAGAGACCGACTTGGAGGAGAAGATTAGTGCAGGCGTTCCATATTGATAATGTTTGTTCGCGGAAGAGTGGATCAAGGAGTACATCGGCCTCATCGAGAACGAGGTACCGTACGCGTGGAAGGATCGCAATTGCATTGCCATGCTGTTTCAATGCATTTACGAGTGCAAGAGGCGTCGATACGAGAATGGCAGCTTTGACCAGCTCCACTCTTCTTCGCCTTCGCTTCTGTCTCTTGACAATCTTATTAGAATAATCGGAGCCAGATGCGCCACTATTATCATTGTCTTCATCCTCATGTGATTCCGAGTCTGACCCATCCGACATCTCATCATCAGATCTTTCAACTACTTCCATCCCTTTCTTCATGAGGGCTACTCTGATACCGGTTCCATTTGCTAGTTTTCGCGCCTCATTGACGATCTGAGAAGCCAACTCCTTAGTTGGAGCTACGATTACCGAACGAGGACCTTCCGTACTGGAATCAGATGCAACCCTGCGCTCAGAGAGAAGTTTGTTAATAATTGGGATGAGGAACGTTATAGTCTTCCCACTTCCTGTCGGCGCAATGGTAAGCAGGTCAATTTCATGATCCAGTTCTGTTCCAGACTGTCCGTTGGCGATTTCATGTGTCCCATTTTGTTTCCACTCCCCCTTGTTACTACCAAGCAACAATGGTAGGGCCCCGAGCTGAACTTCTGTAGGTACCGTGTAACCTTGAGCTTTGATGTTATCTGCTAATTTCCGGGAAACGCCGTGATTACTCAACTGAGAGAAGGAGGTCAATGGCTGAGGGTATAGTTGGGTTTTGGACTTTTTCGGCTTCTCCTCAGATCGCGCTTTTTCCATTTTCCACTTTTTGTCCTTCTTCTTGACCTGCTTTGTTTCTTCTTCCTGCGCTGCAAAATCTTCCAACACTACAATTTTCAGCTTATGCGACCGTAAAATCCGCTTACACTCATCCTCATCGTGCTCCTCCAAAACGCTACCCAGATTCCCCTCAGAGTCTGCTGTCGTACTATTCCTAACCGCCTTCTCTTTCTCCTGCTCCAATGCCTGTCCAGCACCTAGGTTTTCACTTTGTGTAGTTTCTAGTCCTCGAGATTTTCGACTGAAGAAATCCAAGTCTGCGGGGAGTGCTGAAGGTTGATCTTCGACATCCCGGCCTCGCTTGCGTTTTTTACTCTTATTCGAGCTCTGTGAGGTCTTATCTGCTTCTTTGTGACCGAATAGCTGTGGATTCGTAACTGCGCCGGAGGAGGGAAGCTTATGGGTTTGCTGGGTTTGTGCCGAGTTCGCCGATCGAGACAGCAGCTTGAAGACATTCATGCTGGCTTCAGTTGCCTCTCAAATTGTGCATTCATGTCATTGCTATGAACAGGGTTCGGAAAGTTGTGGTGCGTCTTTGCATTTTATGGAAAATCGTGAAGAGTTGCTCAAAAATTTCTAGACTTCTCGGCGTTCGGTAAATCCGCTGCCGATCACCGTCTTGGCATCAAAGCATTGGAAGGTTGGATATTCATATGGGTGATGTGGATTAAAAAGAAGCATTGTCAGTAATTGCACAGGGCTAGAGGAAATCTAAACAAAACATGTGCAATAGTACAGTGTAAAGCCATCCTATGTGCGAAATAGACACACAGCCCAATTCCCGCTCCGTCTTGAAACAGTCACGAGATCGGTATTTGCTTTCCGCCTTCAAGCATCCCCTCCATCGCACCTGACGCTTCCTCCCCTTCGGCGGTCCTAATATGGCATGCTTTTTATAATGTGCTTAGTGGTGGACTGGGGCGCTGGACCGATATCCAACGACCTTGAAACGACCGATCATTTCACCGACGGAGAAGAAACCAATGACTTCCGCAGTAACTACTCCGGCCGATACCCATTGTGCTGTGCTCAAGTTCCTAAGGCGGTTTAGGACGTTTGCGGGCTGTGCGACGCCGGAGGTAGATGTTTGTGTGAGGGAGGATGGGTTTCGGAGGCCATTAAGGAGAGGCTGAAAGTAGCTCTGGAAGGTTGCTAGATCCCTGCAGCTAAGATGAGTATATACGCTTCAAGAAGTTCGAGCTCATCCGGTGGAGCTTACGGTGGGTTCATTTTCCTTTGCTGAAACACAAGCCTACCGAGTTCGAGGCCGACCTTCGAGTAGTAGATCGTAGGAGGAATCAAAGCTAGAGTAAATAACAGTCAGCATATGTTCGAAATTGAAATGTTGTGATCATCCGTGAACTCTGTCGACGAGAGGATCGTCGAGATCCAACCACTCCAAAACCTAAACAGCGGCACTACTTCCCCCGTCGCACTCAATCGCGCCTCCAGGCA